GCCTGGCCTAGGGAGGATTTTTAAATTGGGTTTTTTAGAAATTTTAATCACACAACACTAAAATTTTGGTTTTAATTTGGTTTTATTCGGTGGGGTGTGTGGGTCTCTCTTTGTTTTAATAATGTTGTGAGCCGCCCTGAGTCCTTCGGGAGAAGGGCGGGATACAAATTGGAATAATAAATAAATAAATAAATAAATACTTTTCATCTTGTACTAATGAATTGCAGAAATTAATTAACCAGTATATGAAGAAGAGTTTCTTTCTCTATACTCCTTTATCACCAGAAAATCTTGAGTTCTTTTTCAGCTCTCAATATTAAAATTGCATAAACCTAAATAATGCCATATTTTTTTTATCTTTGATTGTGTATTACTGTATTTCTTCAAAAACATGTTGCCTTTCATGAAACACTTATAAAAATACCAAAATATAGTGATAATAACTTTTCTGTTCTTGTTATTCAAAAGACCCAATTTGCAAAATATTACAAAGCTGAGAGGATGCAGAACCTAGAATCTGGAATATAGGCGAAATCACCAATGTAGGAACGAAGAATAGATGAAGTAAGCAAACATCTTCCCTAATAACACAACATACCTACCATCATGACTAACAAATAGCTTCAAGTTCATCTAGTTCCATATTGCACTTTAATCTACTTCTAAAATACTTGGGTGACCAATATCCTATACTGAGCAAACAATAGACCTGAACACTGAGAACTATCTGTTGGCAACGCTACTTCATGCTTTAGCGGTGGGATACCAAGTTTCTTATTCAAGTTGCAAGTCCATGTTAGGTTTTGGGCTGCTAAACCTCAAACGTTGTGGTCCTCGCATTCCAAATTAGTACCTCCATATTTTAAAACTGAACTTGTAACCTCACACTTGCTAAATGAACTTGTCCTAATTGTCTGGTGAGATGTTATCTTTTGCTTCAGTATGCCAAGTAAAGTGAGCATATACATAAATCTGCTTTCTCTCCAGTCCCAGTGAACACATTATTGCTGCAATGCATTGGTATCTGCCAGAATCCTGACATTATCCTGTGATTTCAAAACTAGTATATTTAAGCAGAAATAATGAAGTTATGCAGCATATCCAAAATATTAAAAATAGGAATAAGTTCAGGAAAATCATAACTTATGTAATCTTATGTGTGGGGTCCTCGGTGCTCTCTGAGCTTGCTTGTTTTTTTGCAGATATTTCATTACCCTAACTAGGTAACATCATCAGTGTAATTCACTAGGTAACTGATGATGTTACCTAGTTAAGGTAATGAAACATCTGCAAGAAAACAAGCAAGCTCAGAGAGCACCGAGGACCCCTCATTCCAACCCCGAGCTACAAATATTCTCCTTCATTGGTAATCATATGTGCTCCATGCAAGCCATCTTGAGATATTAACCAAAACCAGATTGTTTCCTGCTCATATTCAAAGAGACAATATTACACTTGTACTATCCTGGTTGCCAATTTGTTCCTAGAGGAATGACTATGTGCTGTTTATTAACTTGTACAGCCCTGCATCATTTGGATCTAGGTCACCTGAGACAAGACATTCCAGTTTGATCCCTCTTTATATCCCCCCACTCCTGCCTACTAAGTCATCCACGGAGGTCTGTTGATGGTTGCCAAGGTTCATCTGCTGGCATCTCCGAACTGATCTTTTTCTATGAGCACCCCAGACAGATGGAATGCATTCCTTATTGGATTAAGGAACCTAATCAATTTGTTAGATTTTTAAAAAAGACTACAACCACATCTTTTAAAAATAGTTAAATTTAAGGGTAGGAATGGTTGGCTTAATTCCTTTTTTTAATATTGCAGGATTAATTTCTGTTACGTTTTAAGGTTGGAATATCAAGTATGATAAGTGAACAAATAGAAATAAAAAAAATAAAAGACTGATCAAGTAACAACAATAGTAGCAGTAACTGACAAAATTATTTGACATTGCAACATTTCATTTTCAGAAAACAACTTTGCTTGGGAAATACAAATAAGTATTATATAGCAATGTTTACACAATTTTGAACTGAATTTGAATTGACTTGAAACAACCAGAATTTGTGGAGTATTTTTTAGAAGGAACCAAATAAATAAATAACAACAACATCTTACTTGTCTGAGATCAATGAATGCTAATTGCAAGGTTTCTCCATGGAATCCAGGTACAGGCTCAGAACTTGCAAACACTGAAAAGAAATAATAAGAGTTTGTGGGGGGAAAATGTGAGGAAGAATGTAGATTTGATACATTCTATGATTTTTATTGACTCTGTGCATGTGTGTGTGTGTGAGAGAGAGAGAGAGAGAGAGAGGAAAACAGAATAAATTTGAAATCTTGTTTTCATTTATATTGATTTTAAGGATTATAAATTATTAATTAATTGTTAATTACTTTGAATTCTTCATTAAGAGGAAGAATTAGCCAGATTTACACAGAATGATAAATCAGGATTCTGAAAAAAACTGGTTTGCTAGGATTGGGCTATATGAAACAACATTTTCTTCCAGGAAATTTCTCAATGTAGATTTTTAAATAAAGTCATGTTAAGTGTTAGAGTAAGGTAACTTAGACCATTTTCCCTATAAACTATATATATTCATGAAGACCATTTCAAAGAAAGAATATACACTATATAAGCATTTTATTGAATAAATGCTTTATTGTAAATGTTTGCTAGCTAAAAAGCCATTTCTGGAGCTTTGGGGGATCTATCAAATAGGAAATCAGGTATATAAGGATGCAGAAAAAAGATGCAGCAAGAGTTACACAAAGGGATTAATGAGATTGGAAAGGATTCAGATGAGGCAGCTAACCCAGAATTCTTGCAAGACAGAATATCCAGTACCTAACCATCTATAACAAATGTTCAGTTCAGTCTGTTGATGTTGTGGTGGTTTAAGTAAACATCTTCTTAGGTTCATGTTTCATAAAGGGAATATAAAGAGAATGTCAAAGAAAAAAAGCTGGCAATCAATTATTAAGCTAATTTAAGCAATTACAGGTAATCCTCATTTAACAACCATTCACAATTATGAAGGTGAAGAAAAATAACTTCATGACCAATCCTTGAATTTATGACTTTTGCAGATATGTGTCAGCTCAGACTGATCTGAAGAAATTTTAAATGTAAAATTGGATATCAATCTTCTGCATCCAAAAACATAAAGAGGTGAATGAATCAAGTATTCCATTACAGTATATTTAAGAAAGTATATATTTATGTTTGGGAAGAATTCTTGAAACCCATCATCCTGATTCAACAAGATGAAAACAACTGAACAATTTCTATCAGAGTTAATTTCCACAGGACTTGCCTCTTTTTTGCAGCAGTAGAAACATTAAAAAGATTCTGTAGTATCGAAAAGACCAAAACATATTATTTCATAAACTTTGAGTCGAAATTACATTATTTAATTTCTTTAAATGCACTACACTAATAGTCAAAAGCAATATTTTCTTTTGTTATAATAAATGTTCAAGTTACCAGCAGAGGGAGACAAAAGAAAGTTCAGCTCAAATCAATTTAATAAAATACTTGGCATATAACAAATATTTGGATATTTATGTTATTTTTACCAACTAAGAGCTTTCATTTGGCTCATGCACAATTCTGTTAAAAGTTAGGATCATTACTAAGACAAAGATGTTAATGAATTCAGTTAAATAACAAACATAATGTCACTCTCTCAAGTGGCTTAATTTCTTAGAATTGTCCATAGAAAGATCCTCTGTACTAGCAAATAAAATTCTAGGAAGATCTCAACAATGGTAGCAAATCATCAGAGCCAATAATCTTTTACAAGTTCCACAGGAAAAAAACAAAATGCAACATCACAGATATGTAGTTTTTCCTTCTCGGTCCAAAAACAAACCACAACATCAAAAGGTATCCAGATTCCACAATACTTCAAATAACTGATAAGCCAGTCTCATAGATTTCTGGCTTCCATAGTTTATACATTCAAAGCATGCCTTTTATTCAGAATTGCATACTTACATTCACACTGTATGACATCTAAATTAAATTGCTGAATAGCTCCCATGCTGATCTGTTTCAAGTCGCTATCCAACAGCATCTGCATCAGGGAGGTTGAGAGATGCTGGCAAGCAGACATACAAGCGGTCTGAGCTACTTTTCCCTATTAAAGAAAAGGCAAACACATTACAGAAATAAACTGGCACTTCTTGTCACAAAGATGTCCCACTCTGCCCCCCCCCACTGCGACCCTGAGCATTTATTCAACTCAAGACAAACAGATAAGGAATGCTTGGCTTTGTTTCACAATAATAGTTTCCCTTGGATGCTTGAGCCAACATCCAAGAATTTTCAAATAGACAAAAATGGGTAAGATATTATTTTTTGTTGCTGTTTTTTATTTTTGTAAACAAATAAGGGGACAAAAAAAGTCTTGATATTTACAGGATATTACTACAAATGTCCCTGGAAGCTATATATTTTCTGCCAAAACACTCAGTTGCTTTCCTCCCTATCCATGAATTTTTCTGTGTAAGTAGGAGGATTCTAAATATTAAAAAATTTCCAACTTGCATGAAGCTGTCCATTATTCAAGATATACATAACTGTTCAAAGATGTTTCATATTAACAGTTTAAGTCCCATTGGCTGGTAGCTAATAAAAACAGTATAGAACTTGTTGCTGGGAGCCAATATAATTTTTTTGGCATGTGTGCATTTTCAAGAAAAGAAATTCCATTCATTTTAGTGAACTTATATTTTAGTAACTGACCAATTCGGATTTAAGCTAAAGAAACAGTTAGTGCTCCAACTATTAACAAACTTTGCATTTTGCTAAGTAACTTGGGCTCCTTCTCATTTCAATATTAAAGAAAAGCCTTTTCTTTACAACAACCACCATAATGGTCTTATCAGTCATCTGGCCATATAACTAATCCGTGAATTTAAATTCTGTAGCATTCCACAGTGACATCCTGTGCATGTTTATTTAATATTAAATTGCACTACAATCCTTTACACACTTATTACAGCACAAGATATTTGCATATGGATTTAGATTGTGTTCTTAGATTGTTTTAGTTTAGAACGAATGCCATATCAGGTCAATCCATGGAGGTGACATTGGCTGATCTCAAAAAGGTAAGAAGGATAAGAAGGATCAGACATATTAGTTGGATAAATCATCAGAAAATACCAGGGCTTTATACTAGACTGGGAAGTTGACCAAATCACTTTGGTACTGCTGCAGAGAAAGCTACATGAGTAGCCCATGTAGTTCCCAGAAAACAAGCATGAGCAGGCTATTTATCTTATCTTGTGATATGAATCTTCAAGAGGAAAAAAAATGGAATAATTTAGAAGACAATAAATTCAAGGGTGTTTCTGGATATAAGCTGGAATTGGGTATGTCTAGTCTAATGAAAAGAAGGACGAGGGGTGACATGATAGCAATGTTCCAAAGACTCAGGGGCTGCCACAAAGAAGAGGGAGTCAAGCTATTCTCCAAAGCTCCTGAAGGCAGGACAAGAAGCAACGGATGGAAACTAATCAAGGAGAGAAGCAACCTAGAACTAAGGAGAAACTTCCTGACAGTTAGAACAATTAACCAGTGGAACAACCTGCCTCCAGAAGCTGTGAATGCTCCAACACTGGGAGTTTTTAAGAAGAGATTGGACAGCCATTTGTCTGAAATGGTACAGTATATAGGGTTGCCTGCCTAAACAGGGGGTTGGATTAGAAGACCTCCAAGGTCTCTTCCAACTCTGTTATTCTATTCTATACTGCTCAAAAAAAATAAAGGGAACATTTTACCATGGAACTGAAGGGGTTTGCGTTCCCTTTATTTTTGTGAGCAGTATATTATGTTCTGTTCTGTTCTAATTTCTATTTCTATTCCTTGATACTATAGAGTAAGTAATCCTCAATGACCACAAATGAGCCTGCAATTATGATCATGTCCAATTTTACAGCCTTTTTTGTGGTGGTCGTTAAGTAAACACCATAGCTGTTGAGCAAACACCATGGTCATTAAGCAAGATTGTTTTATCCAACGGGAGTTTTTGCTGGAAACCAAAAGTAAATGCTAGAAACCGGCAAAAAAATGTCAAAATTTACAGTCACATGACCATGGGATGCTGTAAATGTCCATAAAGGTGAGCCGCTTGCAAAGTGCCCCTCATAAATTTAAATGATTGCCAAGTGATCGGTTGATTGTTGAGGACTATATGTCAATTATTCTGCCTTTTTTAAATAAATGTTTTTGTGACCAGAGGACAGTTGAAAGAACCCATTTGAAACAGAAGAATTTCCACAAATGAGAAAGGATAATGGCAAAACCAGAGCCTCCTTATGGCTTGCATACATAGATTAAGCAAGTGGTCCCGTGTGAAAACAATATAAAGTGAAAGTGAATCACCATTTCACTGCAAACCAATTTAGCATTTATATGTTCCCAACTATAATAAAATATTAAAAGGATATTCTTGGGAAATTCTACTTATTTTGCTCCTTAGTATTTATTTGTGGGAAATATATAGTATCATGTAACCCATAATGGTTGTGCAAACTTCAAAAATTATTTGGAAAAATGTGCAGACATTGTGCGTCTCTGCTCTTCATTAATATAGTCCAGCCTTTTTCAAACCTCCAGAACATACAGCTGCTTAGAGTTTAATGAGTGTCATCTTGTTATTCAGACTCCTGTCAAAGCTTCAAGAAAGTTGGGTTATTTTAATGAGTACCAGCAGTGTTGTGGTCACGCAAGTTCCAAAGTACTTCTTCCAAATCATGTTTGAAGCATGTACCTACTATAAATCTTCAGCAAGCTCTAGAGGCCGCTTCTAAGGTGTCTTTTTGTTGGTCATTCAAAAATCGAAATATTTTCTAAAACTATACAGCAACTGAAACAAGCCAACTACCAAAAGCCAAGTATCAACCAAACATATAAAAAGTGAATACACAATCCACATGCTTAAACAACTGCAAAAGTCATTCATAATTACACCAGCAGACATGCAGTTTTATTCCCCAAATGGAATGGTATCAATATGAATGAAAACAGAGTCTTGAAGGGGAGGGATAGAAGGGAAGATAAGAATCAATAGCCTTAACTGAATTATAAGATAACAGATTTAAGATACAAAATTGGAAGTCTTATTTTGATTTAATAAAACAACTGCATGTTTTAACGTAATGCAGGGCTCTGTGAGATTAGCCCTGTGTTTTATGTAACAGATTTACTAAGATGCCTTTGTAATATTTTATTTGTATTCTGCCTTTATTATTTTTACAAATAACTCAAGGTAGCGAGCATATCCAATATATCTTCCTTCTCCTATTTTCCCCATAACAACAACCCTGTGAGGTCAGTTTGGTTAAGAGAGAGTGACTGGCCCAAAGTCACCCAGCTGGCTTTCATGGTTAAGGCGGGACTACAACTCACCATCTCCTGATTTCTAGCCTGTTGCCTTGACCATTAGACTAAAATGGCTCAGATATAAACATATATCATATAACATATATAAAGAATAAAATATTGGCCATCCCCAAGTTAGCACAAAATTAAATCCTATTTAACATTTTATTACTATATATTGGTGTACTATATTCCATTTCCGGTTTGTCTTCCAACCTAGACATTTCAAAGCTTTCAGATAAATGTATTAACAGTAGTGGACCACAAGGTAATGGTTACAATGCATGATACAAGAGAAGCTACAAGGCTTTTTTTAAAGCCGAGTTTCATAAATGTACATCAAGTGTATGTTTTATGATGATAGACAAATGCTAACATCCTATGCAGAGAAGCAACAGAATTGCTTTCAACTATGCACTCCGACTACAGGCTTATTGCTGTCATGGCATTAAAAAACATATGCACAAGGGAAAAATATTGTATTATCTGTATTTGAGATAACTAGGTTTTTGTTAAAGAGGTAAGACCTAAAGTTTAACCATAAGCTAGAAGACTGCTTAATATACTAGAATCATTGTGTGGGTCTGTGTATGTGTGGATATACATATAAAATTACACTAACACATTTATCTACACATTTTTTAAAAAATGTAACTCTTCCAAGTTGAAAATATAATTGTTAAATACATTTATTTATGAAAGCTATTAATCCAAATTCATGCTGAACAATTTAGCTCTCCATATTTTACTGCTCAGGCTAATCAAAGCACTTTTTATGTTTGAAAGAAACTAAAACAAACCTATTGTATATAATACATGTATGAATCCATTAACGTAATACTGCTTTTTCAATTACTGTTAAGTTACACCTAAGTAATTTATAATAATAAATACTAATTTTATTGACAATTTTTCTTTAACACCAACTATGTTTTATAATGGCTCTTACTATCTCATTACTTCTAACATCCTTAAATTTATTCATGGGTCCCAACTATCCCTACATTTTATTTTATCTTTGCAAAGCACACGAAATAAGGGTTTTGTTACATAAAATAACACCTGCTACAAGATATTTGCACCTAGATTTCCCATCTTCTTCAAATCTGCTGAAGACCACATTGGTAAAAAGAGAAAATCCTCAGACAAATGTCTTATATTTCAAAGCCGTTTGTAAAAGAGAATCTGCTGACATGTTAAATCTTTTCTGTACTGCCCCAAAGCTTTTCTCTTAGGAACAATTGCTGTAAAGAAACATTTGGCCCTTAGGAAATTCCCAAAGGGTCAGCCATATGCATCCTTCCATGGCACCTTGGTGGTGCTGCTTTCTCGGCCTACGCTCGATGTCTCAAAAGCAGCTTTCATCATTCAGTAGGATGTCAGTCAATATGATTTATGGACTGCATTCAACAAAGTCAGAGCATATAGAAAGAGAAATATGACTACAATCTCCTAATTTGTTTTGTATTGAGCCACTTAAGAGTCAAAGAGCTGATGTCAGACTGAGACCAGCAACACAATTAACCAGCCGGTGACAGATTCATCTATCCTCCCTGCCAGGCTGTGCCAATCAAGGACAGCATGAAACGACATTTGGAAGGATCAGTAAGAAACTCCTTTCTCTAAGTAGGCGATGTGGGCTTCTGATGGACAGTTTTTGACTATAGCTTGCAGAGCACCATGGCACTTTATCCAATAGCCCCTTTGCTGCAAGCTGTGAAATAAGGCTTTTACTGCCAATCATAGGAA